TAGAAAATGACCTTATATTTATTAAGACCCATTTTCTTATGCTTATAACATGCATAAAAAATCTAGAAAAATCAAATGTGTCTCTTGTTGATTCGATAAATCTCATTGAAAATACAATTGTTAAACTTCAACAAATACCTGGAGAAAATGGAGAAAAAATTAAAATTAAAATGGATCAACTTCAACAAAAAAATCAGGGACTCTCAATTTTAAAAAACATATCAAAAGTCTTGGAGAGAAATAATGATGTACAACTTGTAGGTAATTTTCCACCTACTGTGGTTACTGATTTTCAGTATGCTCCTGTGACTTCAGTAGACGTTGAACGTTCGTTCAGTACGTACAAAAATATTTTGTCAGATCGCCGTACAAAAATGACACCAGAAAATATGGAAATGAACATAGTTGTTAATTGTTTCCAAAGAGGAGAATTCTCTTAATTAAAATTATGTCATTATTATAATTTTATCAAGCTGATAACATTTTAAGTCAGATTTTTTTAAGTTAAATTATATAATGTAATGTATTGTTTATTTGAATATAAGAAAAAAGTATTTCAGTTAATAGGTAGAATTGTACCACATTAATTAATTTTGAAATATCAGATTAAATGTTAGGTTAAGATTTTTTTGTAATAAAAGAATATTTTCAATTTCGGAGAATATTATCTTGTATATGCATATATTTTGAATATTTAACGAAAATTTTTAAAGAATATTAGAAGAATATTTTCAATTTTTTAGGAGAATATTAGCATCTTATTTTGACTATTTTAAAAGAATATTATTCCGACCTCTANTTCAATTTTTTAGGAGAATATTAGCATCTTATTTTGACTATTTTAAAAGAATATTATTCCCACCTCTATTTATAAGCAATAATTTACACTGTGAAAATGTTAGTCTATAGGGGTAATTTGTTTATTATCAGTTGATTTATAGGTTGTAACCTTTAATCACTTACTCTCTACTCTTGGTTCCAATCTTTAATATGGTCTGACCCGAATTAAAAGGTCATTTTTTTATTTTTATTTAAAAAGATATTAATTGTTAATAAGGAGTACTATTTACAAGTTCAACGCCGTTTGCGTGAAGGAATCCGAAAAAATGCCCGGATTTGTGACAAAACAATTCATGGCTTTTGCACCATGATATTGCACCTGCTCACATCTCATTGCTTGTTCATGGATTTTTGGCCAAAAACAATACTGTAACGATGCCCCAGCCTCCATATTCATTATACATGAGTCCGTGTGACTTTTTCTATTTCCAAAAATAAAAAGAACCTTAAAGGCCCGTTGTTTTACAAACATAGAGGACATTAAAAGTGTTTTGACAATTGAAATAAGCGTTGGCACATGTGAACTTTTTTGAAGGGGACAACATTAATGTAGACGAATAAATAGGGTATAAATAAGGACTACCCTATAATAGGGTAGTTCTTATTTTCCAAATTTAAGAAATTTGATCAAACATGTTTCTCAATTTTTTCAAGAATGTTTTTTTTAATCTACCAAGCTATAATAATATTACCCAACAGGTATAATTCCTTAGAAAATTATTTCAAATTATATTTCTACATCTTAATTTATTCAAAATATATCTATATCTAGCGTACCTTTTTATCTCCATATATGCTACCAGTCACTAAACCATTTTTTAAAACCCATTCCCATGCTTTCATTATTATACCACCATTGCATCCGCAACATTCTTTACAACAACTCAAGAGCTGTTGTGCAGATAACATTTTTAGTGTTCTACCATTAGAATTGATGCATATTTGATCACTTATAACTGATGCAATTGTTACTGCCTAAATTACAAAGTCAAATAAACAATAAAGTAAGTATAAAGAAAAAATTTAATTAATATTTAGTGAGTTTGTGAATATCTTTTCATTCTTCAATTATATTTTTATTCATATTGTGATATTTATTTTTAAAATGGCAAAAATAAATTTTAGTTTGGATACCTTTTAAGTATTAGTTTTACTTCATACTTCTAGACCACAATTTTATTTAAGATTATAAAACATTTTTCAACAAATTGATTGTCACTTAGTTTTTATGAAAATATGATTAACATCAAATATTTACCCATCCTGCTTTACATTGTCCTTGATTGTAAATTTGTTGTATGCCAGGACATTTATAGCCAAACTTTTCTCTAGCATCGAAAAATTGAGGAAATGCCGACATTAATAATTTTTTAAACGGTTTATTTATAGACAATGAAAGAATATATTTGCTATTATTGCGATCGATACAACTATTATTCTTGTAACAACTGTCATTATATTCAATGCTGTTTTTCTTTATAAAAAATTATACATAAGAATATAATTAATTACACAAACTATGTTAATTTTGAATAATATATTTTTAAATCTATATATTCTACCTTACTATTAGTTATTAATTGGTTTTTACTAATTGTAACACTCAATAAATTTCCTACGTGTACATAAATAAGCAAAAATAATAAGTATCGAAGACTATTTACCATACTAAATATTAGCTATATTAATATTTAATAGCATGAATGAAATATTTTCAGAAATTCTTTTTGAGTTATGTAAAGTGTTTTTAAAATTATTTCAAATATATTTTCATTTCTGTGGCAACAAACAAAAAGTAAAGTGAACTCGACGCATTTTTTTTTTAGATTATTATTGATATTAATATACTATAGTTAATAAAGTAACATATTTACCAAAAATGACAGTTTTCAACTTTAGATGTTGATTACTCATAAAGGATAAGTTACCAGAATTTTTTCATTATTCAAACTGCTCAGTATAATATTTTTATCATATTTTCACATTCTATAAGTAATAATATTTATCATTAATAACATAGTGATTAGAAAAAGGATTTTTTACACTATAAGCTTATATTGTTAAAATGTATCGCAAATTTTATTTTTTTATCATTGATACGTAGGTAAGAAGCTAATATTTTCCCCTCTTACTGGATCGATTTTACTTAAAAATAGGTTGAATAATCACAAAACGTATCTAGTTAAAGTTATCAGTGCCATAATTTTGAAAAATTCTATGACCAAAAAATGGTCAAGAAACCAAACCTAAAATTTACAGTTATTATAAAACAGTAAATGTTGATAATTTTAGTTTTCACTAAAAAAAATTTCACAAAATTAAAAAAGCTCATATCTTTTTAACTTTTGCGAGGCTGTAAAAAAATAAGCTCAATTCCAATCAATGAGGACTTTTAGTATGTCATTATACAAATTTTAATTCAACTTTTAAAAAAAAAAAAATTGGTTGGGAATTTTTCCCGCCATTTTTCCTTTGTTGACTAGCCTATATTGTTATTTAACAAAAGAACTTTGTATTAAAGATACTGGATATTTAAAAAATTACAATGTATTGTCACGAATTATTAATATCTTTATCATAGTAACGAGCTTAGCTTTTACCAACTTATCACGAGAGAAAACATTAATAATCTGCGAAAAACACAAAACCACATTGTGAGGAGCAGGTATCCTACGGGCAACCTCTTAAGGCAAAATTGCGAAAAAATGACCGAAATAGAAAAGTCAAAAGCGGACAATGGAGTGTCTAGGAACCGTCTACTAACAAAGAGTCTAAGTCAACAGATAAAAACAAAGAGTCACATGACCACCTGGCAGCATTTGCTGACAACCATAAAGAACATAATCTTAAGTCTCAAAAAATATGTTGATATCAAAGACGCAAACTGGAGAAGGTGGCTTTGATTTTGATGGGCTAGCCCAAAAATAAGTTAACTTTTCAACAATGACAAATTATCGAGACTTGTATTGGAGTCTATATATTAACGGATATTAGTTTAACAGATGTACCAAGATTCGAAGACACCAAATTCATATATGGAACACTTGTGACCAGTACAACCGAAGAGAATTTTTTTAGATGGCTCACAGATAATATGAACAAAATCAAACCTTGGGATGGTCAAATAAAGATTTACAACCCGATTAAATACAAATTGATGTTCACTCATATAACGGCTGTAGGCGCACTATATTAACTAATAGACTAACTGAGTATTTAAATTTAATCGTTTGATGTAAGTCAAACTATAATTCCAATTGGACAATTGTAATCACTATTACAAGTAAAATCAATATTTAGCACTGGTGAAATGACCAAATTATTTTGTATATTTTTTAGTGACTGAAGGTAAATTTTATAGACAACAGCTAGATATAAAATTACCAAAAACAAGATTAATTTATTTCTATGATTACAAGTGAAAAGGTTGAATTTGACCACTAAGAAAACAAATATGTACGAATACAAAGGATTACTAAATTATTCTTTGAAAGCTAGTAATAAAATTAAAAGTTCAATTATATTAAATTAGACTAATACAATTAGTAATAACTTACAATCTTATAAATGATTTAAACAGCAGCATGCATAGAGTTACATTTCTAACAAGTGCTTAAATTTATAACTGAAATACATAACATGCCTAGATATGTGCTATTTACAACTAAATTTTAAATATACTTGTTTCTAAAATAATGACTTTTACAAATCAAGTAATTGCTACTTATTTGATTTCTAAAAGTGCAAGATATTTCCTAAACTATTTGGTAAGGGACCAATAGGAACAATTTATCAATAAAGTTTGTCATGTAAGGAACAAAAGGTGATATAGACAACTAATATTCAATTTTGTGAGTTTTAATGTGATTTTTTACATTAAGAAACCAGTTAGTTTCTGAAAAGACTAGAGAAATTTAAGTTTATGTGATTACAAGTGTGAGTGTAGACAAGAAATATGAAAATATTGAATATTAGCGACTAATCGACAATGAATTTTAATAATTATAGTTAATTTTGCATGGCATTTTGTAAATGAGTAAAACAATTATGAGATTCAACTAGATAAAGCTTTACCACCCACAACAAAAGAGTATTAGAAGTCTAGTGATTGATTTAAATAATATTTGTAAGATTCTGACTTTGACCATTAAATGTACTACTAAACAATGTTTGTTCAATATGACAACAACAAAATTTGTAATAATTAACTTATATTACTAATAGACCAGTATTTTACTAAGAAATTTGAAATCAACCACGAGGTATCTAAAACTTGATTTAAGAATTAAAGAGAAAATTTGTTGTAACCAAAGTTTCCTACAAATTAAAATATTTATGAGTATTTCCCGTTACAAATTTGTCAACAATATGACAGAGATAATGTTTAACAAGAAGATTTAATATAATTTTAATTAAATTAATGGCGACTAGGCACAAATTAGTGAAAACAAAAACTCTGATGAGTGTACAGCTAGGTGATCTAAAGAGAAGAGAGCGATGATTTTCAAGCGCATAATCGCTACCCCGACAGATTTACTTGATCAGTGATAAGAGAAACGATGGGTGACTCTTCAGTGTCACCACGAATTAAAGATAAACTTTGCTAGGCGAAATAATCAAGATTGCCACGAGATTCCAAAAAAATTATAGAGATCATTAAAAACAGAACCCAGGATTGAACACAGCCATTTGGGAAATTCACAAAACAATGGAAAGAACGACTCCCTCACTGCATCTTGATTTTTCTCTAAATCTTTTTGTGTATTTTTACTCAATCAATCTGTTTATATTCTTAAGCTCTTACTCATTTAAGTCTATAAAATCAATTGCGTGTATATATATTCTAATAAATAAGGATAAAGTAGACTCCATATGCATTATATTTTTATTTCGTCTACATGTATCACCAAGATCACAACATTATAAAAAAAACTTGTATATTTTTACACTAAATAATAATGATAAAAGACTGTTACTGAGTTTATTTTATTTCTATAAGAACTCTATTGTCTTAAAGAATCTAAATATACATAATAATATTAATTATATAATTTAGTGTTACTGTTAAAATATCTGTTAAAAGAATATATTTTTAAAGAAATTTTACAATACATTTGGTTACTTTTCTGTTTATAGTAAAAATTTTTGTTTTCGAAATGTAATTTGTTTCGATATTGGACTTGTAAGGCAATCATAAAAAATCAATTGAGTTGTATGATCCAATAAGCTCTGTGAAAAAATTAATAAAAAAATTAATTATATAATTTATTATGTACAGTAGCGCTCAAAAGTATTTTGACAAATTAGTTTAGGCCATTAGAAGGCGTAGCCTGCAAGATAATAAGTAGCAGACTATTTTCTAGGGTAGAGCACAGCAGGGTGCAGCTGTTATCTTTTGGAAAAAACCCTGACGATGTGGGCACAGGTTAAAAGGTCCGTTTTTTCTAAATTTAGCGCTCAAAAGTATTTTGACAGGTATATTTGTTAGCGCTAACACCTATTTTATTTTGTGATTATTTTGTTTGGCTGTGTGTTGCCGTTTGTTTACATTGTGCGGAACCTTCTAACTAAAATGCCGAAAGTTAAAGAGTATTCTACTGATCTTAAAGAGGCGGTTATTGCAGCATTACAAAATGGCCGTTCACAAGCTAGTGTTTCTAGAGATTTTGGATTATCTAGACAAATTGTCAGTGTATGGAACAGAAAATTTCAATCCTGTGGTACAGTGAACAATGCTCAAAGATCGGGAAGGCCACGAAAAACAACCGAGAGGGTTGATAGGGACATCCGACGGAGGTCAGTTGCGAATCCCCGCCTCACAGCTGTAGATATTACTCGCGATATAAACATTTCATACGGTGTGAATGTTCATGTTTCAACTGTCAAACGTCGCTTGAACAATTTGGGTTTGAATGGTCGACGACCTAGCAAGAAGCCATTGATTTCTGTAAAGAACCGGAAGGCTAGACTTTCATTTGCTACAAAGTACAAATCTTGGACACCACAGCAGTGGTCGACTGTTTTATTTAGCGATGNTATATTTTCCGAATATTTGTATTTTCATATAATGAAATATTTTTTATATCGAATGACAAATTAGCAAAGCAAAATCTTCGTCTTTACATTTAAAACTTTTAATGAATTATTAGGTGTCTTAGTTAATTTTTAAAGACAAAATTTGCTCATCAATTAAATAATAAAGAAAAATGTTACTTATGAAGGTAAATATGTAGGGATATAAAAGATATAATTACTTTATGGATCAGTATTTGGACGACGTAGTATTACACAAAATTGCATTTTTCAGGGCAGACAGTTGTTCACTAAGACCTTTGATTTCGCAAGCAATTTTTTGTTTAT